CAAGTTACATGGAACACCTAACTCTTCAAGTTGTAGTTATTCTTCTTATTAATGAGAAAAATGAAGCAAACTTTCATTAACCAAATTTTCAATTTTCAATAAAGCCCATTTCACATTTTCCTTTTGCATAACTACGAGTAGAGACTCCCAAGACATTTATAAGTAGAAATAAATATGGATATTTATAGCAAATGCCCCTATTGTACTTTATAAGGCAATTCCTTCATTAGAGGTGGAGTCCGTCACCTCCTTGGGATTTAACCCTAATTCATTTTCACTCCCCTTTTTAAAAACTGTATGCTGAAAAGCAAACCCTAGGGTCTAAACTGAAATAATGAGTTAATACTTGGCACATTTTTCCAGGACTATTCCCAGAGCTACATGGATGGTGGGGACCCTTTAATCTAGTGGCTAACATCATTTTTTGGTAGAATGCCAATAGCAGTTCAGATATGCCTTTCTGGGATGTCCACCTGTGAATTATCTGAAAGAGGGAGAAAAAGAAGAACTAACAAATGAGCTTAGAATGCTGCAGCAGAATTGTCACCAGAACTCTGGAGACCTTTTAATGTTACCTTGGAGGAAAGAGAGGTCTGGGACTTAGGAATTTTTTTTCTGGAGCCTGACCACCCTTAGAGCAGTGGTTTTAAACTTTACTATGCATCAGAATCATGTGGAAGGCTTTTAAGACACAGATTGCTAGGACCCACCCCAGAGTTTCTGAGTCAGTAGGTCTGGGGCAGAGTTCAAGTATTTCTAACAAGTTCCCTGGTGACGCTGACATTACTAGTCCAGGGAATGCTCTTTGAGAACCATGGCCTCCAAGGAACTGAGAGGCCAGGGACCAAGACAAGGTCCTCTGCAGGCCACCCTCAAGTGTAAGTGCTGGTAACTGCTCAATATCCTGCCCATTTTCTCCCTCTATGTAGACACACCTAAATCAGTGCTTTCCAAAGTTTAGTCATTAATGTTCTACCATCATGAGTATTGCCAAATCTCTATGATACTTACTTACTTTTATTGTTATTCATCTTTTAACAACTTGTTAAAGTAAGCTTCATTCTATGCAATAATACTATGAAGTCACATATATCACAAATATGAATTTGATGTGCTAGTTGTATTCTTTCTAATAAATAAATAATTACTTAAATCAAACTGTCCCTGTACCACTTTAAATCGCCAAAGCATAGTTAGGTAAATACTGTCCTAAACCATTCTGGAAAAAGAACTTTTCCTGGTTCATCTATTCTTATTTTATTCCTCACTGGATTATGTATAACCAAACTTTTTAAAATGGCAATTTAGGCTCAGTGCAACCACAGAAAAGTGCAAATGATTATCTTTATCAACCTAATTAAACAAATGTCAATAGAGCCAGCATTCTGTCAGCTAAGACTCTTTAATTAACCAAAAGTTCTCTTTAGTTACACTACAGAAGTGGGGCTTCTAATAGAGACTCTAGCTATGTGAGGAGCCATAGAAAATACAGAGCTTTACGAATATCATATCACTGAATCATCACAAGAACCCTGTGAGAAAGTGACATTACTTTCATTATACGGATGAGAATACTGAAGCTTAGAAAAGTTAAGATTTGACCAGAGTAAATCAGCTAGGATGCAGAAAACCAGGATTTGAACAATTACATCTCAGGCACCAAAGCCCTGTTTCCACTATCCATTTTAGCTATTTTGCATTTCAAACTGTCTTTCCAATCATCCAAATGACCTTAAAATTCAGTTCTGACCCAGCTTTAACATCAAGAATTTTCTAATTCTTTGGATTAAATCAAGGACACATACAAATGGCAGACAAAGTGTAGAATCAAAGACCTGTAATCTGACTCAAAAGGTGTTTTTACATAAGAAAATTGAATTTGAATGCATTCAGTGGTCTCCACTTTCACAGATCCCTTGACCTCCCATTATTTTACAATCAGTTCCTGAAGGTTGAATTTGCAACCCCTGAATTAGATCATTCGTGAATGGTACACATACTAACTCATAAACCAGACTATGTGGTTACCAAGATAGTGTAACAAATAATAATTCTATAACTTACAAAGAGTAGCATATACGTTAAAGTGGGGAAGGCAGGGGATGACTTTTGCCAACACCCCACATGCTAATGTGGCTGATCTGTGTTTAGTGATAAGTTAATAAGAAATAAATATTACGCACCAATTCAAGGGTCAGAAGATAAATTCTAGCGCTCTGACTCCTAACTAGTTGGATGACAAGGCAAATCATCTAGCATGTCTAGATCAGAAAATCTTCACTGTAAGTGAAGGAGGTTGGACAATGAGAATTCTAAAATTCAAAGTCTCAGAGATAAATTCATCCAATAAGCACTTTAAAAATTATCTATTGTAGACAGATACTTTTATCTCTACAATAGATACTTGCACAATAATGTGAATGTACTTAAGGTCATAGAACTGTACACTTAAAATGGTAAACTTTATGTTATGTATATTTTACCACCACCACCACCACCACACCAAAATATATATGCATATATGGGCAAGGCACTGTAAGCTTGTCTTAATTTATTTAAAAAACATGTAAGATACCTCATCTCTGTCATTCGAAACCATGAAATCTAGTAGCAGCACTAATATATATGAGTATAAAGTAACTATAATTTAAGATTGAAAGAACCATGAAAGAATAAACATGATGATGATGATGATGGTGATGATGATGATGATATAGCTAAAATTCTCTGAGTACAAATAAACTGTTGATAGTGAAGATTATTTCCAGTGGGGCAGTACAGTCCTCTCCAGGATTCTCTCTTAAGGAACTAGACTTTAAATGGTGTAAACTCTTATTCGCAATTCTTTAACAGAAATTCAGACTGCCACAATCATCACTATTCACAGTTAGAAATGCATTACTCACTGGTACATGGGTCAGAATGGTAGAAGCCAGGAGCTCTCTTGCTTCTTCTATTTTGGTTTTCTTTGGTCCACCTCCCCACATCCTTTGCCTTCTTACTTTGTTCCCTATATATTTTAATGCCTATAAGAAACAGATTATAATAACGTTTGAATGACATCACTGGAGAAAATTTATTAAGCAGCTAACCATATAGACATTATAAGAAAAAAGATAAAGGCCCTGATTATAGAAAAAGTTGCACTGGGTCTAGCCATAATCAACATTTATCATGTTATCAATGACAAAATAGCATAACATAGTGCCTAATATAATAGTTCCCTTTTTTCTTTTAAATTTGTTTTCTTACTATAAAATTGATACATGATCATTATAGGAAATTTAGTAAACACAGATAAGTAAAATATATGTGTGTACATATGTATGTGTGTGTATATGTTTACGTGTGTATGTATGTATCTATATATACATAAAGCAGCCATCAATCCTTCACTCAGAGAGAACCACAGGTAACATTCTAGGGCAGTATTTCTTTCCCCTCAAAAAGGAATCACACCATTTCACACCTCTATGCTGAAAGTTACAAAACACTACTGAGAGAATATAAAACCTAAATAAATTAGAGGTTATGACATTTTTGTGGATTGGAAAATTTAGTAGTGTTAAAAGTAGCTTACTATTAAAATTCCATTAAAATTCTCTCCAACTTGACCAATAAATTCATAATGGCTAATTATAATCTTAGCAGGCTTTTAAAAAACAAAAATCAACTGATTCTAAAATTCTAAAATTTACATGGAAATGCAAAAGACCTGAAATAGCTAAAATAATACTGAAAGAGGAAAGCTAGAGTATTTACATTACCTTATTTCAACTATAAAACTACAATAATCAAAACAGTAAGATACTGGCATAAGGATAGACAAATAGATCAACAGAAGAGGTAAAAAGTTCAGAAATAAACCCACACTATATGGTCAATTGATTTTTGACAAAAGTGCCATGGCGATACAATGAGGACGGGAAAGTCTCAATCAATGGTGATGAAACAACTAAATATCCATAAAGTAAAAAATTAATCTTAACTCCTATCTCACACCAAATAGAAAAATTAGTTTAAGATGGATTTTAAACCAAACGTAAAAACAAAAACTGTAAAGCTCCTATAAGAAAACATCAGAGAATATATTCCTGACCTTGGGGCAGGCAAAGATTTCTTTCATCAGGACACAGAAAGTAATAACCATAAAAG